TTTGAAGATATGTATGATGTTCAATGAGAGTTGGAGATATCAGTTTCTTTCCTTTGGAGTTAGCCCAGTTACTGAGTGCCTCCCTTTAGGAATAGGCAATCCTTCCTGGGAGCTGACAGAGGAAAAGCATTTGATTCATGATGGTCAGGATTATGCCCTGACCAGCCTGCAGCACTTGACAGTCCTCAGGCTCTGGCAATCTCTCTGGCTGTCACATGAGTCTCCCTGAAAATGGAGATGTCAATAAGCTGAGCAGTTTATTTGGGCACTGGATCTCACATTCATGAGAGCTCTGTTATGAACACAGGATGCTACTTCTTGCACTTCATTGCTCCTTGTTTTCTCCAGTACTCTGAGGAAGTTCACTCCTCAATTCTGCCACCTCCTGTGGATCCTGCTCCTGATTCATTTCCTGGTCCAGTTCACTCTTTGTCCTAAGCCCAGTCCAATCTGAGACCTCAGCACCCATCCCTCTTGCTCAGGCTTGTTCAGACCCCAGACTGAGGAGCTGCTGAGGCTTAGGAGGCAGATGGCTTTTGGAAAGACTCAATATCCCCACATACCTCATCTGAAGGTAAGGGAGGTTGCACCTCAGAGTCAGCGGCCACAGATGGTATTGTGCCACATGTCTCTGCCACTCAGATCACATAGTGACAGCCAGACAGCTTTGGCATGCCTTTGCATCTGACCAGTGCCATGCAGTAGCACACATTGGGGTTACATATGCCAGGAGAGATGAGAGTGGCTCCAAAAGAAAGCATTCAACTTTCACCTGGGGCAGAGATAGGCCCCTGCCAGGTATTTTATTATTTAAGCTGTCTCTRTAAATTATCCTGTGACACGGGAGACACAGAAGATTCTGCGTCAAAATCCGTCTTCACTCTTATGCTTCCCTGTTTCACAGCTGTGGAGATGCTMTCACATTTTCAGCAGGCTCTGTTTTGCCATAAGTAGGGAAGCTCATTGTCTGGCATTGCTGTCACCATGCTCCTGTTGCCCTGAGTGCTCTTGGTGGCCAACACTTTGTTGYGTTGCTTCTAAAAAGTTTGCTCCCTGTCAACAGCCAGATATGCTGGAAATGTTTCCTATATCAAGGGCTCTGTCTATACCCTGAGTTTAAAAGTGGACAAATGAAGAGGCAGAGGCACAATCAGATCTGTGCATGCTGTTTGGAGCCTGCAGCAGAGCTCCACACTAAATGCACTTGGGAAGTGAAGCACTGGGGRAAACTGGTTCACAACAGGCCAAGCCCTTCACAGGTGGGATAAACAAGAACCTGCAGTTGACACAGGTATAATGCTGGAGATGGTCCAAAGTCTTTTGTTCTTCTGTTTCCCTTCTTCTTCAAGAACCTTCTTCCCAGAAGATTTTCCTGTGTGTGCCCAGGCAAAAACATGATGGAAGGAGCTGAGCTGAGCTCACATGGGTCTCATGACTACTGGAGCCTGTGGCATGGCTGCTCTTCCCTTAAAGATGAGAAATGTGTTGTTCCCATCAGGCAGTGAAATGACAAACATGAAGGCCCCACTTCTAGCCAAACAAGCAATTTATCCTCAGTCCCAGTGATCAAAATTTGCTGTTGGTTTTGTCTTTTTTCAGAAGGTGTCTTCACTCACTCTTCTCCCCACAATTCTTCTCATTGCTCCCTGTGTCTTTGTACACAGGGGCAGGAGGAAGAAACAACAGGGAAAGGTTGATAAGCCGAAGCCCGACTTTCAGTAGCATGCAGTACACAAAACCTCTCTCTTCGGCTTATCCCAGAAGCAGGAGCTATTGGAGCCCTCCACCCCTGCAGTGCAGTTTGGCCATTGCTGGCAACAGGCTGCAGGTTCTGTACTGAGTTTGCAAAGGCTCAGGACTGCCMAATTTACTTTAACTGGACTATTGTTGGGTACCTGCTGCTTTGTTTCAGTTTGGTTTAGCTATGGAAATGCTTTCCTCCTTCTAGCCAGATGCCTATGGCTGATTAGACCTAATTTCASTAGCACTGCATGGTACAACCACAGTTTTATATCAGTAGCTCTTCTGTGCACCATGAGGTGTTCACRACTCCAGCTTCATGCACTGGAGCTAACAGAGGCCATCATGGGCTTGGTGTGACAGCAAAGGTCCTGAGAAGTGGAAGCACAGGATGCAGTGCAGAGGGGTACAGGCCCAATGGGATGGTAAGGGATGGGGCACAGGCTTGACTCCGGAGCCCTCACAGCTACAAACAACTCCCCTATGGACAGCTAAAGAAATGCAGATACAGAGCTGGATAAGAATGATTTCAGAGATAGCAAAGAGGACAAATAAATATCTTACATGTGTATAATCAGCATGTGTAGTAAATGTGGATGTGAAATGGAGTTTCAATCCAATGAASAAAAAACAAGGTGTAAAAGCATGTAACAAATCATAAAACTGACCCCCAGAAGAATCTGGAAGAAGTGTGGAAGAAGAAACCATCACCATCAACTTCACATTCTTCTCACTGAACAACTCCAGATGCTGATGATTTCCTGTAGCACCACCACCAGAATGAAACCACCAACCTTAGGATCCGGATGAGCATGGGCAGGGGGAATGCAACACCAGGACTAAGGGTAGAAGATAAATAGAGTATGCATAAGGCTTCAAATTACTTTAAAATTATTTTTATTGTTATTGAATRTTTTTCTGCATGGGAGTATTATTTMWTTTTCTGTAATAATTTGACCTGGATTAATAATGATTTTTTATTAGCACACTAAGATTTCAGTTCTACTAGCACTCAAGTCTTTATATATAGGTATGTTTTGCCCAKAAACAATATTTTGAGCATAAAATAGTACAAAGATTTTTGAATAGCTCAGAAACATTCCATATTTCTCACAGGGTCAAAATAACCAAATACTTTATGAGCTTTTTTTATCACCATCAAAATGTGAAAAATGCATCTGCAAGGAGAGGACTAAAGAGCCTCCTGGCCTCATATGAAAAGGTAAATGGTGTTTTTGGTRAAATAAGCTTTTGTTTTTCAGTTTTTCTCTTCAAACCTGTTCYTGCTCTCTTGGATGCTCTCTCTATGAGTCAAAACACATTCTATTCCTCTTCTAGACTGCACTTTATCAAAGAGGAAAGCCACAACAAACATGTTATGAATTAGGAAACATCGATTTTAGCCACAGACCAAAATTCAAAGAAAAAAATAGAAACTTCCAAACTCCTAGTCTTCTTCCAGTTCCTCAATAAAGCTTTCCAATCAATGTCTTCCATTTYTAATAGTTCTGCGTTTTACAGATATATTATGCTTACAATAAAATTCAGAAACAATACACTGCCATCAAACAGGTGCCCTTAGCACCAGTTTTTCTAAATTCCTGGAAAAAACAGAAGAGACCAAGAACAGGAGCCACCACAGCAGACAGACCTGTATCATAGGAAACCATGAAGAGGTGAGCAGGCCACATTAGGGACTCTCCTAGTTTTGTGCTGGGCTTCCTGGGCAGAATTACAGTGTAACCAGTAATACAAGGTACCATGTCATTACCGTTGTTTTCACATCCTGGACATCCCGGACCTGTGGTGTAGATGTATTTTCCCGTAAGCCTGGTGGCCATTCTTGATTCTAGGATTTTGGTTTCCCTCTTTTTGGAGATACTTGTAGAACATTTTTCTTGWTTTCTCTGCGTCTCTGCACCAAGTCRACTCTCAGGACKGCCTAAAACTAAACTGTATGACTAAGAGCATTGTCCAGTTGYTCCTTGAACTCTRACAGGCYGGGTGCTGTGAGCAYTTCCCAGGGGAGCYTTATCTTGACATCTGCAGCAGGTGAGGATTGCTTAATGGCTATAATGCTTTGGAAGAYGTGCAAGATCTAGACTCAGTTTTGTGAGTGGCTTTGCTTTTGTCTTTGGATGACTCCAAACAATCTTTGGTGAATTCTCTCTAGTTTGAATATACTTAATATGCATTTGTCTTCTTGTTAAATGAAAAAAAGGAATTATTGATTTTCTGTATTTTCCCTTAAAGGGAAACYCTGTTTTCCCATCAAAATGGTGTGACACCATTATATTGCAATCTGTTGATTTATAAGCTGCATGGAAACTCTCCTTCCTTAAACACAGCTTGCCATAAAGGATTCTTAGATCATTTCTTTTCTGTGAATTTAATTTTGGCCAGGTCCTTATGCCTCATCCAGTAGGATCTTCCCCCTCAAACCTGAAGGCCTTGCTCCTCTGTGTCTTACTGGGGCGTTGCACAGGTCTGATTGCCTAATCCCAGTTCCCCCCACTGCTGCTGGCTCTGACCCCAGTCACAGAGCAGGACATCTGAGAAATGCTTCGATCAAAGCTCCCCGCCCTCCAGTGGGGTTTGGCCATTAACCTTTTGTTTATGCCCTTGCTGTGCAGCAGAGGCACTCCAGGTATTTCCTTGCTGAACAAAGGCAGGCATTTTAAACCAGCAATGTGCTTTATGACTCTGGGCATCCTTAYTGCACACACTGTTTCACTCTTTTCTCTGCAGAGATTAATGCTGGCATCTTAAATATCACTAATGCCTTATAGACAATCCATTACCATCAGTGTCTCCTAAGTGGCCAGCCATACCATTATTTATAAAATAGGGATCCTTTCCTAGTGCTGCCGATACCACTCCCTTGATTTCCCGAGAATGGAATAGTGCCTRTTATCAGCTGTGGAGTATTTTGCATTGCTACATATTTTTTACTATATAATGAGCTCTGTGTGTGTGAGTGACATGAAAAAAAAATAGAGGAATATATTGCTATTCCACTTGCTGCAGTGTATGAGCTGATCTGGTTAGACAYGAAATGCAGACAGAAATCCGCCTCACCTCTCGAGCTAATTTTAGTCTCTCCCTCTGTTCTCTGTGGCTGTGTGTGTATAAAATCACTGGCAGTCTGACAGCATTTCAGTAACCTGTGCCACGCGCAGAGCGGGATGTACTCACCAACCATCTGCTTGCATGGCACGGGTTAAMTGAGCCTGTGGGATTGTGCTTACCTAAACAAAACCACTGCAGTGAGGGGAAAAACAATGAATGGGTGGAGATGATCAGCCCATGCATTCCAGCTAGTGCAGTCCAAGCAGCAATGACAGCCTGAAGGTTGCAGCAGCATCGGGATCAGCATTCTGAGTGCACCGATTTTACATTCTGGAGTGATTTTACGTGGAGCTGTTCTTTATTTGCTGAGCCATGGCCAGTAACCAGGCCAGCCTGCAGGATGATCAGAGCAGGCACTGCAAGTTCTTATCCTATATGTTCTATCAGGCTGTGAGAGATCACAAGCCTGTGTGGATGCTGGAAGACATGAGAACTATGGAGTATTTTTACTGGGAGGAAAATGCCAGCCTACGAACCTACTCACCTTCAGAAGCCCTTCTCTATGCAGTGGTGCATAATCACCTGCCTTACGCTCAGTATCTGCTGTCTCACTTTCCAGAGGAGGCTCTCAAGGTACCTGGGGAACACTTCTGCTATTGCCCATCCTCTGCTCCTCACTTGGCCATGGCGGTTACATATGACAGGAGAGATATCTTGGGACTGATCATCAAAATTGCACACAAGCTCCCCAGCTTGAACTCCTATATCAATAGGGCTGGCTGCTTTCATCTGGAAGATGGGAAAACACCCCTGCACCTTGCCTGTGAACTGCTGAGGTCAGAGACGGTCCTCATCCTCCTCGGGAATGGAGCGTCTCCCAGGATAGAGGACAGTAAAGGGCTTACCCCGCTGGATGTCATCCTGGAGCAGATGTGGGACTCCAAAGTCAATGTCGCATCAAAGAAGCTCTGCCTCGACTACCTCTTGCTCTTCATGCCCAACCCACAGTTTAAGATGCGGAAAGTTCTGCAGGAGCATCCAGACCACTGGACAGCTTTGCTGGGAGAAGATAAATTCAACAGCCTGGTGGGGAACACACCTGCTTCTTTATATCTGCAAGCTATGCAAACTATTCTCCAGACTCTTCCCCCTTCCCACTTCCCYAAAAGCATCCAGGAACTACCTATACCTCAGGCACTAAAGCCTTTACCATCCTATGGCAAAAAGCTACCGGCAAAAAATGTGGTAAATGTTTTTCCTTGACATTATTCAATGGGTCTTGGATTTTCAAAGGCAACTTAGAGGAGCTGGTCATCCACCACCCTCTGCATTTTAGTGTGATTTTAGTACTTAACCTATTAGCCTATGCTGGAAAATCCAATATTTTGTGACAAGATTTTAAATGTCTTTTCTAATTGATTGCAGGCACGGCACTTTTAAAGGCAAAAGCCTTCCTTGTTTTCTGTTTTGTTGTGCATGTGAAGGGTTAACTGTATTTGAGACTGTGTTATGTTTGGTTTCTTAGTTGTCAGCTGGTATCAGTGTATCTGAATTCCCAATATGATAACTGTATCCTGTGTAATGCACCTGGGTTAAAAGGAACTATGYGCCCAGTGGGATTTYTAAATGGTGTCACTGCTAGAGCTGRRAGAAATACCATCCCYTACCAACAAGGTTCAGACATCAGATTTCCTATCAAACAACGATCAAACATTATTCAGTAAGAGCCAGGAAGTCCATGGCTGRTGCTGCAGGGATATAGAGGCAGTTCCTGCAGGATAACTGATCCTACCSAGTTACTTTACAGCAAGTCACGGTGTGGAGGGCATGAGTTCAGAGAGGGGCAGTGAGTGCATATTCCTGGGGGATGGGAAATAAAGATCCACAGAATGGATAATGAAAGCATCMAGTCTCACCAGGGAGTGAAGGGGTTAAAGGCAATCCCAGA